TCATTTAGTCCACTATTTTTTTAACTAGTTCGTTTATTTACCAGGCTCAGTCGTGTGTGACACTTTGCGGAGCCAAAATCCGTAATTTTTTAAATAACTTTTTAAACAGCAGTAAATCTAGGTTAGTATTGGGTACCAATGCCTCATCTCGCCTTATTGAGCGCCCATCTTTGCAAGAGAGTCTGCTTTCTCATTGCCTGGGATTGAGCAATGTGAGGGACCCATACAAATATATGATCTTTCGACCAGCAAACTCATCTGCTCCCTTAGGAAATAAGATGAGTGCCTACATTGTTTCATCGACCAAATAGTCTCAATCGAACTGATAATATCCGAGAAGATGAAGTAATGGATTGAGTCTACTATGATGAGGCTAAACGACTCTTTTTCTCAGTAAATTATCGGGCTTTGACAATATGAGGTCTGGAGCATAAAATATAAGATAGATTTTTGTCATTATCGTTAAAATAAATGTTTTTTTTTTTATATTCAAAGCGGGCCATATAGTTGAATACAGCTCCCCTCGTTAATCCGAAACAATCATAGTCGGCCTATTGGGCGCAACGTTTTAATTATTTTCGATTCAAAAATTTCGTTGCTACTCTCGATACTGTTGGTTTGTAGCCTAGTGTTAACTCGAATTTTGTTGTGTTATTGGTCAATTTCGGAATTCTCGACGTTTCACGCATTTTAAGTCGATTTTAATCAATTTTTTTTTTCAATTTGCAAATTTTCACGAAGTTTGATTTCGACGTTTCATACATGTTCAAGTAATTTGGCATAAAAAAAATCGGTTTCCAAAAATTCACCAAGCTTCGGAAGTCGATATAAACAAAAATTCGGTTCCATAATTAGGAAATTTTTTATATGAAAAAAGTTCAAACTTTGACGATTTTCCGCCACCATAAATCATGTCCGATTGAGACCAAATTTTGCATAAGGTTTTTTTTCGAGGCAATGGACATTTTTTATATAGTCGATTTGAATCGAATTGGTCAATTTTCCCCCAAACGTTTCGTTGGCACCCTAATGGCTAGGTTAGTCTTAACTCTGATATGAAATAATCATAATTAACAAAGAAATCTGCCAATTTAAATTTCACTGCACAAGGTCCCCAGAGCATGGCCCTGCTACTGATAAGAGTACGTGCGGAAGTTCACAAGCGATACGATACCAAAGTGATTAAACGCTCTGTCTACAAACAAAAGCTCCCTCTTAGTATATAACATCCCTGCAGTCTCAGTGATGAGTATCAGTTCTACTAGATACATTTTCTAAGGAAATCAATCAGCAACAAACAAAAAACCAAACTGAAGCAAAATGCAGCCCACAACCAAAGTCGTTTGCTTAGCTCTGATTTGCCTTGGTGTGATCGTCTCAATTGGAAGTGCCTTCCCGCAAGATATTGGAGCCTTGTCTGACGATGTAGCCATCGAGTACGTTGAAGCTGAGAATATGAGTAAGTATAGTTACATCACAAAATTCGTTCTATTTTGAATCAACTATGAAAACAAAAACTTCCAGTGAATATTGAAGAAGAAGCAGAAGTAGATGGACAGGCATCCGTCGAGCTTCCGGATGAAGAAGTTGGTCCGCAACTTCGTATAAGCTGTGACGTCATCAATGGAACGACCACATTCTGTGCTCTTCATTGTCTGGCTCGTGGATCCAGAGGAGGATACTGTAACGCAAAGAGAGTTTGTGTCTGCCGTAAATAGGGTTGTTGGGTGATTTACTGAATTATCCTTAGACGGTTGTAAATTAAAAAAAAACCTTTTCGGCATTTGATACAAAAATAAAAATGGTTCTAAAATAAAATGAATATTCAAAATACGTTTTCTGTACTTTTGCTTCAGCTAGTCTACGAGTTCCCTAAATTCCATCCAGTGGATTTCGTGATTGTGTGGTTAGATGAACGACTATAACAAATCACATTCAAAAACAATCATTGGCGGTAGGGGGTGGCCTCGGCGTAGTGGTTAGCATCCATACCTCTCACGCCAAAGTCACGAGTTCAAAACTGAAAATTACACGAGCTTGAATTGACGTATGATCTAATTTTCTTGTCATGTAATTCGATAAACGACTTAATTTTATGTGCACATAGACGCACTTCAAGAAAATAAGTATCGACATTTAATAATAAACACATCTAGATGTGAAATAGCGTCTTATGACTGAATATCACATCAACTTCTGAAAAATATGTCATGCTTTTAAAATTAGGTGTCAAAAAACCTAAAATTACATGACCGAAAACTGAAAAGTAAATTCGTGACAGATTTTTATGTCCGAATAGATGTAAAATTACATGATGCCAAACCTCGGTGACAACGCACCTGAAAGCAGTAAGTAAAGCTTCGATCGTCATCGGCAACGCACTCCGCAGTTTTATGAGTGTCCGGTGCAATATATGGGGTTTGGACTGCGCGAATTCCACATTTTATAAAACAACATATCTGGCTGCATAGGAATTCACAAGTCTTTAAGTATGCGTTCGGATGTGAAGTGATATTTAAGTCGTTTGTGGCATATCGGCAGCACTTGAGGCAGCGCCATATTGGATGGCAAAGTGAAATTTTATACGAGTGTCCGATAATATCCTGTAGTGTCAAAACAAACGATTTTAAATCAATCACTAAGCATGCAATGCACCACATATCCACAGGAGAGCCTATTTTTTGCCCGTTGAATTGCCGGAAAACCAAACCATTCGCAACATCAAACAGCTTGAGAATCCACACTAAATTATGTCTAAAAGATTTAAAATTGCAGATTTTGAAAAATTATCAAAATCAGTAAAAATGAGCACCAGTGGCAGAAATTTACGTCACGACATGTAAAAATATGTCTTCAGTTTGTGGTTCGAGTAAATTTAAGAAAATACGTAAATTTAGGTCGATTAAGCCGCTTCTTTTGAGTACATCTAAAAAGATTTAAATTTACATGAAATTTTTCAAATGTGTAGTATGTTGGAGAGGGAATGGTGGTGAGCAATTTTCGAAACGGAAATGAAACAAAACAGGTTGAACATCGCTATGATAGAGGACGTGGCACGTGGTGTAGATGGTCGAAATCGCCGTTTAACGTCATTATTTACATTTATCACATGACCATGTTTTACTTTTTCAGTATTTTTTGTAAGTCCTCTATTTGCCACAAAATGTCCTCCTTTTTAATCCTTTCACATTTCCATGTGCAATTTTGCTAAAAAAATTTGCTTTTAGAGCATTTTTAAGTAAACTAAGCTCCTGCAAAACTTAACCCTATATGAGCAATACATCTATCTATCAGTTAAAAAGGAATTCTCATTGTAATGAGGAACTTCGTCGAAAACACCACATAACGGAAATCCTTTGTTTCAATGATATTCATTTTGTCCCACTAGATTACATTCCTTTCCCACTGTGCAATGCATTTAATTTCTACTGATTTGATTCTAATGAAAACGAACTTGCATCGTAACGTGAGTAGATCACCTTTTCGTGGTACGTTACGGGATGTAAGATCTACCACCGATTCCTAGTCCTGACTACATCAAAATAGGGGAACAGGATTTTTCAGTAATCCAAGGAACACATCTTAGTCCTTGTTACTTTGTATGCCTTGTTGATAGTGACAAGACTCGGCTTTGTCCACCGAGGAAAACATCTATGTGATTCCTAATATTCTATTCGTTGTTCCCTAGTTTGAAGCGATTAAGACTAGGGTTCTGAGGGCATGGTCATTATCGGTGTGATTGTTTGTTTTTGTTGCTAAGGAATCCAGTTTTGACTGACAAAGGGGCGCGCCTTTGGAGGGTGTTTCAACAATCCGAAGGGTATAAATAGCGGGACCTTTCAATTAGAATCGATTCCTTGCGATGAAGACAAGAATGACAACTGTATGAAAACCGAATACTTCATCATTTTTCAATATTGATGGGGAAATACGACATGCACTAAACTAAGGACACGGGATATACTACAATAGATCAAATTACTGGTCGCAGTGGTGTCATATAAAAAAAATGAAAACGAAACTGTTTAAGATTTATCGGGAGACATTTTATTGAATTCACCAAATTTGTTTAAGAAGCATATAATTGCCAGCTTTCAATATCGAGATTAACTCTGTGCTGAAATTTCACTAACTAAGAGCAGCATATGCAAGAGTTTCCACTGCACGATCCATCTTTGTATCCCCAGTTTTGGCAATTAGCATCGCAGAGACGGTCGTGAACGCATCGGCCAATGTTTGTACAGCGTCCACGTGTTTGGGGAAGCTTGTCCTTTGGAAGATCCAAGGCATCGTGGTCTTCTGAAAAAAACATCCGATATTGATTTTTAGCTACTAATTTCTGCAGCACAAGTCGAAACTTACCCATATTCAAGCCGAACGCATCACCAATTGGGGCACTATCGTCCTGTGACAGAGCACTTCCAGTTGAAATGCAAGCAGCTAGACAGAGCAAAGCAAGACAAACAACGGTAGTGGACTGCATTGTGGTAAGAGTTTGTAGTTCGTTTAGAAACTGTACTGTTTTCGGAAGAAAGTGGTTGGTGGAACTGGTGTCTGCTAAATTGGAAGTAGCTACTTTTATACTAAAAAAAAGTTCCTTCGAAGAAAGCGAAGAAAAATCACCGCGGAGTATTATCCATTTGATCTTATCAGTGTCGCAGCGATGGCAATGTTCTGGTTTTATTGCAGTGCAATGGCTTGCCTACTGATAGCCTCGTCGTTTCCGTTCCAAACACTCTTTGTATTGCAATGTTACAATCGAAAATTCTTAATTAATTAAAACGACTGTTTTTCGTATAAAACTTCATTTATTAATGAAAGTACTAAAGTGAACTCTCTACCACTAGATATTGAAGGGACAATCGAGTTATAGAGCAGCATTCCAACAGGAAATCACCATCACAGTAACCATGAAATTAATTTTTACTATGGTTCTATGACTCAATATCGGGTTGTGGAGAGTTGACTTTATATCTAATTTTAGTAGGAACAAATTATTGAGAAGGAATCCAAAACAATGGTCACGAAAATCCGGAAAAGAGCGTTTACTTTCTGCAAATGCAAACCTTCTTCGAGCTGCAGTAGCCTCCACGGTTGCCACGGGCAATACAGTGAGCGGCACAGGCACTGTCCTGAACACCGAATCCGCTCAGCAGATCACAGGTGGCACGTTTCAGTCGGAGGTTTGCCCCGGCAGCTTGGTAGGACTCTTCCGGAAGTTCATCAACTGGAAATGACAATTTTGACATAGAATAGCGGTATTTCTTGCAATCGTTACAAACTTACATAGAGTATTGGCATACGAGCGAACCTGCTCGTCGGCCAGTTGCGATCCTTGAGGATACGCTTGGCCACCGGTGGTGGCGAGAGCTACGATACAAATGGCGACGCTACAAATTACGCTGAGAGACTGCATGGTTATACTGTGGTAGTCTTTTGAAAACGGAGAAAAAGGATAACTGATCGTATAACGAGCTTGAGAAGATGACTGATGCCATTTTCGACAGCAATCGACGAATTTATATAAAAACCAATCGCGATGAGTACGCTACCGCGCTGCTGGGTAAATCACCGGAAAGAAAGTGCCAGCTCATTTGCATACAATAGATCTGGTTCAGCAGATGTTTGTTGTTGCTTCGGCTGTGGCGTGCGGTGGATCACCGTCTGGAGTGATCCTTTTTTAATCGTTTGGGGATTTACATGACAGCGGCGTTTTGGGTACTATTTTTGTAAATATTGCGAATGCAAAAGCACCACAGTTGTGTCGACACAGCCGGCTAAAACACATTTAACCGATTATATTTCAGAGTTGGTTGGAAATGCTATCTAACATGAAGCTTTTAGTGAGATAATTTATTAGCTAGAGAATGGTCTGAAGAGGGTAGATAGTTCCGCTAGAATACAGCAGTATGAAAATTGAATAGTAGTTGAAAATGAGCGAAGAGCCATTAATGCGACAGTACTAGTCAAACGCACACTTCTTTACCTAACTCGTACAATGTACGAGGAGATTTGAAGTATTTCTTCAAATCTACAGGCACAAAAGTGTTCGTTTATTTGGTAGGCTCAATCGCGTTAGCTTTACGGAGCCGATAACTCATTGTTCTTTGTTTGTAACAAAATTCACTTAAATTCACAATCAGGGGAGGAGCTTGGGGGTAAGGTTTCGTTGTCTCATCAGAGCGTTGTCGCCAGTATGAATGGTAGTTAGACTGATGCAAAATTTGAAATTTTCGCTCCACTGTTCCAAATTGGGTTCTACTTAGCCTCCCAAAATTTGAACTACTTTAGTAAGAACATGACTTGGCACAAACCATTTCAAGTTTATATGGGAATTACTATGGGAAAACTTATGTTTTTGTTCATATCTATCTAACAATTCACCACATCACTATGCTTTTAAAAATGATAGCAGTGATTGTAGCAAATTTTCTCAGCTACAACTTTGTTGAAAACTACTTTTCAATCAAATGTAAGAAACAAAAGTTATTAATGATTCAAGTTACTGATGTCTTATGATAATGCTCATTCAACTGTTCAGCAGGCAACATTGGTGTTTCTGGTGCGAAGAATAGAGCACAAATATAATGGCCACTATGTCACACTGCAGAATACAGTGTTGCCCATAGAAAAGCTGCTTGATCATGCCATAAGATTATCAATCTCTTAAACAATTAATAACAATTTAATTTGACATTTGGCTGAAAAACGATATTGCGCAAAGTTGTAGCTTAGAAAATTTCCCGTAAGAATAGTTATAGAAATTTTCGAAAAAGCAATATGGAAAATGGATATAAGACAATGAACAAAAAGTTTGGTTTTCCCATAGTAATTTCCATATAAACTTTGAATAGTTTGTGTCAAGCCAGTTTCTTACCAAATGAGTTTAAATTTTGGGAGGCTAATCTGGACCTGATTTGAAACCGTTTGAGCACTGTGGAGCGAAATTTTCAAATTTTGCATCAGTCTAATTGTAGTGCGGCTCTAGTTTCGTCTGGAGTTCGACCGGTTATGGTGACCAGTGGGCGACGATGAGACTCATCGAGACGGGGGGACAAGACAAACAAAAACTATTAAAGAGAGACAAAAGACAAAGGAATTAAATTCTTATACTAGACATTTGAAGAAACACATAAACCGACTGCATATAGCAGATATCGCGAGTTCCCAACACGTCTCTGATAGGAACATAGGGTTGTCTTCCTTGGGCCTCAAGGGTATTCAAAAGTCGCTCTCTGGCGGCGTAATTATCCGTACATTGCCAAACTGCGTGATCGATGTTATCGTAACCGTTTCCACACCGACAGATGTTGCTGTCCACGAGGTTTATTCTATTGAGATGAGCATCTAGCGAGTAGTGTTTGGACATAAGTCTACTCATCACGCGAATGAAGTCACGACTCAAGTCCAAGCCTTTAAACCACGCTCTCTAAGAAACATTAGGAATAATTGAATGTAACCACCGTCCAAGATTTCCATTGTCATAATCGGTTTGCCAACTCGAAAGGGTACTCTGACGCACTAAATGGTAAAATTCATCATGTGAAATTTGCCTGTCATAAAATTCGCCTTCTTGCGCGCCCACCTTTGCGAGAGAGTCCGCCTTCTCATTGCCTAGGATTGAGCAATGTGAGGGGACCCATACAAAGGTAATCATATATGATCTTTCGGCCAGTACACTCATCTGGTCCCTTACCTTTGAAAGGAAATAAGATGAGTGCCTACCTTGTTTCATCGACCCAATAGCCTGGATCGAATTGAGACTATCCGAGAAGAAGAAGTAATGGTCTGCGGACATGTTGGAAATCACAACAAAAACGGAACAAGGTTCCTGGAGTTTGCGGAAGGCGCTAGAGTTTTCATTGAAGACACCGAAGCCAGTGGATCCACTGAGACGAGACCCGTCTGTAAAATATCTGTTCACGCAATTGACGTGTTGGTACTTTTCAGTAAAAATACGCGGGATAATAATAGGTCGAAGTTGATCGGGAATCCCTTAAGTTGCTTGTTTCATGGTCAGATCATATTCAATTGAGGAACTGCGATTGGTGAAGTGAGCACGGTCTGGAGTGTAACAAGGAAGACACATATCTGACGATATGTACACAACAAAAAAATAATTTTAATATCACATCAAAGTGGATGCACTTCAATCGTGTCGAAAATATGGTGTAATATTACTTGCCAAAATAGGCAAAATTATCATTAATACAATGCATAAACTGACATTACGTTGCTTTTACTGCATTTGTTTATTTGTGTGGCCATAAAAATTACATGAGATTTTCGACATGATTGAAGTGCATCCTCTTGGATGTAATATTAAAATTTATTTTTTGCTGTGTAGTGGTGGTAGATTCTCATAAATCGAGATTGTGTGTTCAGCCCAAGAATTTCTTCAAAATTAGCAATTATAAGTGTGTTCGTCACTCCGCATTTGATTAGTATTCTGAGAGAGAGCTCCCAGAAACGGTTCTGGAGGGGTTTTACTCCTGCCAGAACCTCGAGACTCATGTTATGCGTTGAGTGCATACAGCCGAGAGCAATACGCAGACAACGATATTGAATTCGTTCCAATTTTATTAGGTGACTTTTTCTTGCCGAGAGAAAGCAGAAAGAGCCGTACTCTAGAACAGAGAGAATAGTTGTTTTATAAAGCGTTATGAGGTCTCTCGGATGAGAACCCCACCATGTGCCGCAAATTGAACGGAGAAAGTTGATCCTCTGTTGACATTTTTGCTTCAAATACGTAATATGGGTATTCCAAGTGCACTTTGAATCAAACCAGACCCCAAGGTACTTGAAAGACAATGATTGAGTAATGTTTCTGCCCAAAAGTTTAAGATGCATTTGGGCTGGGTACCGCTTTCGGGTAAACACTACCAGTTCAGTTTTCTGCGGCGAGAATTCGATGCCTAGATTCCTAGCCCAAGAAGACAAGTTATCTAAGGAACTTTGCAATGGTCCTTGCAAGTCCACGGCATGTGGACCTCTTACGGAAACCACACCGTCATCTGCAAGTTGTCTTAGCGTACATTGTTCTGCCAAATAGTTGTCTATATCGTTGACACACAAGTTAAAAAGAAGAGGGCTGAGACATGAGCCTTGGGGCAGGCCCATGTAGCTAATTCTGGAAGTTGTCAGTTGTCCAAGGGAAAAGTTCATTTGCTTTTCTGACAACAAATTGTACAAGAAATTATTTAAAATTCCAGAAAGTCCACATCTGTGCAGATTGTCTGACAGAATTTCAATGGAAACTGAATCAAAAGCCCCCTTAATGTCCAAGAATACTGAGGCCAATTGCTCCTTGTGTGCAAAGGCCAGTTGAATATCTGTGGAAAGCAGCGCTAGACAATCGTTTGTTCCTTTGCTCTTGCGGAACCCAAATTGTGTATTTGATAGCAAGTTATTTGTTTCGACCCACTGATCGAGTCTCCCAAGGATCATTTTCTCCAACAATTTCCTAATGCACGAAAGCATCGCAATCGGACGGTATGAGTTATGGTCAGACGCTGGTTTGCCAGGTTTTCGAATGGCTATTATTTTGACCTGTCTCCATTCAGCATATAATGTTGTTTTCTAGTAAGGAGTTGAATAAGTCTAGCAAGCTTCTTTTAGCGATATTTGGTTGGTTTTTCAGAAGATTGAATTTAATCATAGAGAATTCCAGCATTGTGATTGGTCTATCCAGAGAGCTGCCGCTCGGAGACGCTTCTCGAAGAATGTGTTGTACTGGAGCTGAGTCCGGACAGACCTTTTTAGCGAAATCAAATATCCATCGGTTGGAGTATTCTTCACTCTCATTAGAAGATGAGCGGTTACGCATGTTGCGAGCCACTCTCCACAAGGTGTTCATTGAGTTTTCTCGTGAGAGTCCCTCGACGAAACTGCGCCAATAACCGCGTTTTTTTTGCTTTGAATAATTGTTTCAGCTTTGTCTCAAGCTTTGAATATTCCTCTAAGTATGTGGAGGTTTTGTGTCTACGAAAAGCTTTGAAAGCATCAGATTTTTCTACATACAATTTTGTGCATTCTTCGTCCCATCCAGGTGTGGCTGGTCTCCTTTTGAAGGGCGCACTTGGAACTTTTCTTTTTTGTGCTTCTTGAGCTTTTGTATATCAAATCGGCGAGGAATCGATATTCTTCCAATGGTGGAAGCGTATCTATTGATTCGGCACCGATTGTCACCGCCGTTGCATATTTCTGCCAATCTATGTTCCTTGTAAGATCAAATGGAACACGAGATGGTTCTGCAGAGTGAGGGGCACACTTAATTGAAATGATGATTGGCAAATGATCGCTACCATGGGGATGATTGATAACCTTCCACAGACAATCCAATGATAGCGATCTTGAACACCAAGATAGGTCAAGTCGGTAAACTGCTAAATTGACAAGCTAAATTTAATAAAATATAAACAAAGTCAATCGTCGGATAA